AAGTAGAAAGGACAACTGCTTTCTTGTAAATGGCTAAAGTTGTTTTATTTTTTATTATTTTGTTGTTTGTTTTTAAGTGACTGCTGACTCTGGAATGTTCACTCACACTTAGAAGAAAAGAGAGTTCACAATTCTGGCCGAGCATGGTGGCTCACGCCTTAATCCCAATACTTTGGGAGGCCAAGGTGGGTGGTTCACTTGAGGTCAGGAGTTTGAGAGCAGCCTGGCTAACATAGTGAAACCCCATCTCTACTAAAAACACAAAAAGTCAGCTAGGTGCAGTGGCAGGCGCCTGTATTCCCAGCTACTAGGGAGGCTGAGGCAGGAGAATTGCTTGAACCTGGGAGGCAGAGCCTGCAGTGAGCCGAGATCGTGCCACTGCACTCCAGCCTGGGCGACACAGCAACACTCCATCTCAAAATAATAATAATAATAATAATTCCATTTGGAATACTCTGAGTCTGATGTGAACAATTTAAAAATATTTCTTCTAAAATAGTTAACAAGCAATGCTTGGAACCTAATAAGCTGAGACACTGTCTCAGCGCTGAAGCACTAGGTGGCTTCAAGTATTCTGAATGCTCGGAGTGCTCCCAAATCTTGTAACAAGCTGGTTAATTTGTGACTACAAAACAGAAGCCTCCCATGGCAATTCTAGAATTACTTCTGCCCCTCCAGGGAATTTTTTTCCCCCAATTCATAGCTTAAAATAATATGATATGGTTACCTATGGTAACACTACTATTTTAAGCAAAAAGATATGAAAGATAAGTGAGAATGGATGGAAAATAATCTTTTTTTAGACTGTGACCTTAGGCAACACCACTCCCTCTTTGTGGTTAAATAATGACCACTTATTAAATTTTTATCAACTTCATAAGTAAATGCTTTTTTTCCCAAAGATCACGCTTGCTCACACACAGGGTCAGGAGAGCCGAAAGAGCACAGGCGACAGAGCTGCCATATCCAGAACGGTGGCCACTGAACGCCAGAAATGTGGCCAGTCCAATCTGTGATGTGCTTTCAGAGTTACGTACACACTAGATTTCAAGGACTTAGCATGAAAAAAAGCACCTAAAATATCTCATTAATTTTTTTTATATTATACAAGTGACGAAGAAATAATATTTTGGTTATTTTAGGTTAAATACATATTATTACAATCAATTTCACTTGCTTCTTTTTTGTAAATGTATCTACCAGTACTTTTAAAATCACATTTACTGCTTACATTATATTTCCACAGGACTGTGCTGGGTGAGGGTGTTTCAGCTTATGTTACAATTTAGCTACAGAGGGGTGACCTTCCATATGTCATGCACTGGCTTTCTGCCTCGGGTTTCTTCATTCATAAGACGTCAAGAGTTTGGACTAAATGCCTTTTACAATCCCCTATTGCTCTAAGATCCTAGAACTTGTGGGTTCAACAGTTATTGCGGGTGGAGAAAAGACATAAGAATCAGGTGAAGACAGTCCTGTAACTAGGATGTAGGACAAGGTGCCCAAGAAAAGTACGGGGTGTCCCTTAGAGCCATCCAACAGCCAGTGTGTCCTGATGCTGGAGACAAGGCTGTTTACACATGTCAGCCCTGCAGCTGAGGAAGGGTATTTGGGGAAAGCTCTGCTCTGGTATGAGGTTGACTCTCAGGCTCAGCACATGTGCCACCTGCTAACAGATGAGCTAGCTGACACAGCTCTAGAGCACAGCGGATGGATGGCATGCGATGTCACTTACACTCAAGGTTCATGGGACAGAAGCACATATCAGCGCCAAAAAGTTCCAGAAGATTGATCTCACCCATGTGCCACCCATCTGCACGGGAACTCAAATAATGGAAAAAAAAAAAAAAATCAACTTGTCAGCTTTATTCATAATTGGCAAAACTTGCAAGCCACCAAGATATCCCTCAGGAGGTGAGAAGATAAACTGTGCAGGCAGTGGAATATTATTCAGCACTAAAAAAAATGAGCTGTCAAGCCATGGAAAAACTTGGAGGAAACTTAAATGCATATTCCTAAGTGAAAGAAGCCAATCTGAAAAGGCTCCATACTGTATGGTTCCAACTAGATGACATTCTGGAAAAGGCAAAACTATGGAAACAGTAAAGATCAATGGTTTCCAGGGTTAAGGAGGAGGGAGGGATGACACAGAGGATTTGGAGGGTAGCGAAAGACACATGTCATTCTACATTTACACAAACAGATAGAATGTACAACACCAAGAGTGAACACTAATGTAAACTATGGACTTTGGGTGACATTGATGTGTTGGGATAGGATCACAGATTGTAACAAATGTACCACTCTGGTGGAGAATGTTGATGACAGGGAGACTGTGCATGTGTGGGAGTAGAGGGTATGTGGGATATCTTTGTACCTTCTTCTCAATTTTGCTGTGAACCTAAAACTGCTCTTACAAATAAAGTCTGATTTTTTAAAAAAATTGTTATTCATGTTGTATTTGCAGGTCCTAACCCAAATTTTAGCAATGATGGATTCTGTGGCTATCAGATACCTAAAAGAAGCATTAAAAGAAAAAGCAGCAGCATATGACCGTGACTTTCATCCAAAGCTTTTATCTAGGAAATTTTTGTTTCCTAGAACCAGTTAAAATGGCACCTTCTGAGTTATGTGGACAGCAAGATTCAGTCTTCCTGCCCCCACAACCCCATCCATGCCCAGCACCTGAGGTCTTCACAATCTCCTCCAGCCATCTTTCCAGGCTCACCTTCCACCATTCAACAGTACCATTCAGCAAACATCTGCTGGGTGCCTATCAGGTGCCAGGCACCTGGGATGCAACGGCAAGTAAGCAGCTTTCAGGGTGTCGGGGGAGCTAGCACAGAGAAAGCCAAGTAAGGAAAGAACCATGATGCTATGAAAATTCAGTAATAAGAATGGAGTGCTTGCCTCAGGAGCACCTAACTCAGGCTTGGAGGATCTGGGAAGGCTTTTTGGATGAAGTGACATCTAACTTGGCTAAGAACTAACCAAGAAAGGAGTGGGGAAGAAGAAACAGCCCATGATGGAAGAGTGATGGGTGCACAAGTCCGGAAGTGAAAATGAACAAGGTGCATTCCCATAAGGTAGGAACTTGGAGAGTGAAGGTGTCAGTGGCAAGAGATGAACCAGAAGATGTGAGCAGGGGGCTGACCACAGAGGTCCTCGAATGCCCTGTAAAGGAGTTGCCTATGGCCTAAATATAAGGCAGTGGGTGTGAGGATGGCGTACCCAGCCCCATTCTATCTACCTACACTTCAGCAGGATTCAACAGCTTCCCACTCCCAAGCACGACATTGACTTCTAGGATGTACTGCCTTTGCACGAGCTGTCCCTTCTCCTTGAATGCTTTCCCTGTCCCTGTCCCTGACTTTTTTTTTCCTCCTAGGAAATCCCACATGGGCCTTATTTAAGGGGCCTCTCAAAGGGCTCTTCTTTTCCAAACCTCTCACAACCCGAAGACTGAATTAATCAATCATTCCCTGCCTCGTGCACATGCTTCTTGTAATAGAAACTTTCGGGGATGGGGTGGGGGGGTGGTGGGCAGCGTCTGCTCAAATGAACATCTGTCTTCTTTCAGAATTACCCCCTTTGGTGGCAGCCCAACATCCACATCTGAGCAGCACGACCATGTGTCTTGGGCACAGCAGACTAAGTCAGGGGAGAACATCAGGCCAGATCTGCCTCTCACTTAGAACCCAGGGCTGAGAGATGCCAGTAGGTGTCTTGCTAGGTACTTTACCTGGGAGAATATTTAAACTTGGGCAACCTCTGCCGTTGTATGGAAGAGGAAAAGCTGAGGAGAAAAATGAACCGCTGCCACGGTCCTTCATAACATTCCTGTGTCTTGTCCTAGTCACTCGTGATCTGTGACCAAATGTCTTTATAGTAAGTGATCTGATGGACCCCTGCATCCTGTAACCAACCCTGACTTTTGGTGTGAGCTAGTTGGAATGAGTTTTGGACAATGCTATCAAATAATCCATGAAAAAGACACTTTCTATAGCTCTAATGCCTTTCTATAGCAATTATTAATTTTTATATTAAAGTCAAAGTTGACACGTAGGTGACATGGGTGCCATCACTCTCCTGGACCAATCCCACTACAGACATGACTAAGCAATCACAGCATTCTCTATCTGGGCCTCACAGGCCAGCACCGTGGTGCTCCAGGTGGATCCAGAGGAGCTGGCATGAAAGACAAAACTTATCGACCATCAATGTTCTAGACTAGAATCTACTGGAAGACAGGTACTGTGCCCTTTTCATCATTTAATCACATCCTGACACAGGGTCAGGATGGAATAAGCCCATGCCCTGACTGCTAACTCCTGTGTCTTCCTTTACCTATGTTAGCTCAATGGAAGTTTAGAAAACATTCATTCTTTCCCAATTTAGAAGAAAGGTAAATAATTAAATGAGTAGTGAAAGAGCTGAAATAGAACAGTGCATCTCAGCTTCACACACATTTATAATCTGTCTCTCCTCATCTACAGCTCGTTCTCCTTTTCTATCCCTGGGGACACGGTCACATTTTAACATTACATCGATTTGGGACAATGATTTCTAAAATCTCGACAGAATCAGAGCACCCTGTTCTTTCTGTCTTCTGACTTAATTTTATACCTGCATGAAGTGTGGCCGACTAACTTATTTGTAGATTATTTTGGCAGTTTAGCCACAATTTTTTACAAATTTATATGCAATCTGAAAAAAAAAATCTAACTACAACATGATAGCCCACAAACTTCAGAAACTGCAAATCCTGCAAACTTCAGGAGCTGTAAATTACAGGAAGCCTTTAAATCCCAGGAAATGTGTCTGTCACAGCAAAGTTTCAAAGCTGTTCCTCTCCCCACTTAATGTCTTTATCATATACCTGCCCTCACGCAACAGAGGCTCTACCTTGTCCAACTGTCGCGAAAAGTTTTTCTGAATACCTTGATAGGCTATGATCAGTCAACCAACAAAAAAGAGCATCTTAAAAATCAGTAACATACCAACTCCATTAACTGTTTGAGCTGGCCTATCTCTTCTGGTAATGATCCAAGTTTGTTGTTACTCGCGATTAAGACTTTGAGAGGCAGACCACACAGGCAGGCAGGCAGGGCGGACAGCTGATTTCGACTGCAAAGACAATACAACAAGAACACACGTAAACAGAAAGGCCACTTCATACTGTCTGTGAATCTGTTTTTAACAAGAAAGGAAAAAGGAGTGATCTGAGAAGACATTTTACAAATACAAAAAGTCCAATATACTTTCTGTATATGTAATAACTCAAATGACAAGTATGTAAGAAAACAAGATATGGTGTTTTTTTGTTTGTTTCTGTTTTAAAGAAGCGTATGGGCAGTTCTGAAAGAGACAACCTTCTTCAACACAAGGAATACCATTGAAGTCCCCTCTCTCCCACCCCCCGAACCCCCCCACTCCCTCAGTCCCCCACCCCCTTCTCCACCCCCACCCCACCGTCACTTAGAAGCTGAGCCCTTGGCCAGCCAGGAGCCAGATGGAGAGCACATCCTGCACAACCAATAGCAACGGGAAGCTGGTGCCAACTGCCCTCTCCTGACAATGTGTGCAGGAAACTCAGCTGGACCAAAGCAACCAGCACCACACAGGCATCACTTCATCCACTGCAGTAGGGATGGGAAAGATAATTTTGCTGCAACTCACAAAACCACCAGGCTCATTTCCAACATTTTGACTCAGCTTCCTTTTGTTAAAACAAGGGTTGCTACAGTTAAAGTCTGTTTTGGTATCTGCAAGAGAGCTAATTAAAAGAAAAAGAAAGGAAAGTTGCTCTTCTGGCAAAGTGGAACTACAGCCCAGAGGGGTTCAGTTCCACAGAGGAGCCAAAAAAGTCTAAGTTGCTATCTCATCTCTGCTCTACAAGAAAAGGGTTTCTACCCAGAAGTTTCTGAACTTTCTATCATCAATGCTTAGTCTTCATGGACATGGAAAATATTGGATAAATAAAATCTACAAATCATCCTTATTTATATGTCAGCCATTTATTTCAATCTCCTCACCCACAAAAAGCCCCTTTTTCCTGTTACCAAGTAAAAAGACAGATGGTTTTCAGTTTCCCTTTCTTTCTCTGCCGTTCTGGTGCTGAAGCCAACGACCACAGAGTGAAACATCTAAAAATCTGTATGTCATTCAATGCAACTATTTAATAAAACTGCTGTGTGTTTGTGCACACATGCACAAAGTTTCAGAAGTAGTGTTCTTGTGTGAGTGTATTTATAGACACGCATGTATCTGTGTATGTGAGGGGGAGAGACAGACAGAATGGAAATACACCAAAATACTCTCAGTACTCCTCTTGGGGTACAGGTACAATGGATGGTTTTATTTCCGTTATTATACTTTGATATATTTTCCAAACTTCCTACAAGGGCTTTTATCATCAGGAAAGAAACATCATTAGAAAATGATAAATGTGACCTGGATATGTGTTACATGAGTGCTCCTATTTGTGAAAATTCTTTGAGATGTGTACTTACGATCTGTGCACTTTTCTGAATATATGTCACACTTTCATTAGAAGTTTGACTCCCCCCCTTTTGAGGGGGCAGGAATCCGGTTAACTGAAGGGCATCTCTACCTGATGGGCTCAAAAAAAGCAGGTGCTGTGCTGTGGAAAGAACCTTTCTAACCTGGGCACGGCCTTGTCAACAGCTTGATATCTCTTCTGCTTTAGGCACTCAATGACCCACGTAACTATGTTTTAGCAAGAAAAGATACAGTCGTATTTTCTCTCCATTGTGCAGATCCATGGCAAAAGCTATTTCCAGAAAGAGGCAGATTTTTCTCTAAGAGGGTCCAGCAGAAGGAGGGAGGAGACTGAGAGCCCTCCTGGTAGGTTCCTGGCTTGCAACGGACCAGCCAGCTCTTCCCTTTCCCTGGTTAGCAGGATTGGACCAAGAGAATAAGGGCAATGGGCCCGCACTGGCACTCTCTCCTGGTCTCTGGGGGTGGTGGAAGGGAGGAGCTAGGGCCAGCAGTCTGTCTTTCTGCCTCACAGCCCTCCCACGGCTCTCTCTCACCAGCAGGGGCTCAGTGGGACTCTTTCAGCTGGAGGAGGGGGTCTTCCTGTTACCCTGCTGTGAGGGCTTTGTTCAAGCTCCGAAAAAGGCTCCTCCGGAAAAAAGAACTCGGTTTATTAAAAGGTTGCAAGTAAATAATTCGAAATGTAATTTGTGGTTGTAAAATATTTGTTAATATGCAATTTTCTAAAGTGAGGATCGGCAGATGAAAAATGGCAATAAGGCAAGTCTGTTAATGTGGAGCCATACGTAAACCTCCTTTTGCAGAGGGGTAATGAGAACGAAGACCAGTATTTTCAAGAAAGTTCTACATTCCTATTTTTGGCAGAGTTAACAATTACAAGTTCAGATCTTCCTTACGTTTCTTTGCCTGGAAACTCAGTGTTACACTGTTTGAGTTATCTGTCTCAGTAGTTGGTACAGGGATCTAACCAGATTAGCAGATATGGAATTGGGAGAGTCATGTATCATACTAGTTTAAGAAACACAAAGAAAGCTCTGCTCATTCAGATGTGTGAGTATTTGAGATTACATGGGTTTATTCTCACTGGATATCTTCCAGGGTGGGTACTTACTTAAAATAAAATAAAATTTAGGCTTATGAAAACATTCATGGTCTCTTTGATGGGAATGGATGCTTTTTACACTAAAAGCTGCCGATGGAATGGCCTATCTCAAATTCATGTTCCATACATTTCTTGTTTACACTGTAGTTAATCATCTGTAGACTTACCAATTCACCATGCCAAGAATTTAGTCATCATACAGCATGCCACAGACCTGGGGCACATTTCTTCAACTTCATCCATCTGCTCCCTCTACTTCATCTATTTTATCACAGGATGTTCCTGTATTACTTGTGATTTCCCCAATAGAAAAAGGAAATACACATGCACACAAAAACCCATTTGCTCTCCAGCAAATATTTAGACAGGAGAGGAAAAGCTGCATACCCTGTAATCCTCTACCCACTAGCAACCACAGCAGCAGTCTCAGCTTTTTGAAACCACTCGTCTGGCAGCAATTTTTCTCAAGCAAGTAAGTGCCTCAGGCCACAATCCACTATCGTACACCCCTGGTCTTCTGCAGCCTTGGTGCTATAAACAGGCCCTATGCTGAAAGAACGTTTGAAAATAAGGCCATATTGTATCTGACAAGCTACATCACCAGAGCCAAGTCTGCACTCCACCCCTGCCCCAAACCCGTCTCTTGTCACTGTCCCTGTAGAGTCTGGGTTGAAGATCAGGGTGGGGAGGAAAGAGAAAGAGAAGGAAGGCACTGGGCTTTTACCAGATCCATATTATTGTGAATGCTTCATCTTCCATTTTTTTCAGTTAAATGACTTCCTGCTAGATTCATTTATCTATTTCATCATTTCAAGATGAAATAAGGCAGCTCAATATAATCTAAACATTCTTGGCAGCCTAAATTTGCAGGATACATTTATCTTGGCTTCAAGTACCACTATCCCTCACTTAACTCCTAAATTAAGGAATTTACAAACCAAATCACTTTTTCTGGTTTTACTTCTAGAGTATTATTTTGATGTATTTTGACTACGGCACTTATTGATGTCCATAGTTTGAGTCTCAATCTTAGTATCTGATATTATTTATTATTGGTTTATCAAAAGGTTATTTTCCTTAAGATATGTGATTATAAAGACATGCTATGTTCTTACAGGTGATTTTATTAACAGAGCATAATATCTACATTTTTAAATTCTACTGGAATATACCTCTGTATTTTCAGTGAATGGGTTCACTTAACAGAATACAAAAAATTATTTTCACTTAGAAAATAATTTATAGAAAAATTTATATAACAAATTTACTCAATTGACTGCTTGGTGTGGCAGAAAAGTCTTTTTTTTTTTTTTTTTTTGAGACGGAGTCTCGCTCTGTCGCCTAGGCTGGAGTGCAGTGGCCAGATCTCAGCTCACTGCAAGCTCCGCCTCCTGGGTTTACACCATTCTCCTGCCTCAGCCTCCCGAGTAGCCGGGACTACAGATGCCCGCCACCTCGCCCGGCTAGTTTTTTGTATTTTTTAGTAGAGAGGGGGTTTCACCGTGTTAGCCAGGATGGTCTCAATCTCCTGACCTCGTGATCCGTCCGTCTCGGCCTCCCAAAGGGCAGGGATTACAGGCTTGAGCCACCACGCCTGGCCAGAAAAGTCACCAATTATAAAAACCTTTCAGACTGTCAAGAGAATGCCCCTCCCAGACTACGCCAACTTTTAAGCAAGAAATAAAGAAAGGCCACCAGTTGTGAAATTATAAGACCTGGGTTCAAATACCATAGAGATGATTTACCACAAATCAGGTAAATCATTTAATCTCTCTGGTTTTCTCAGCTATAAAACAGAGACGATAAGACCTACCTAACACAACATTATAGATGTGAAAGTGCTTAGCCCAACACCACATCCATATAAAAAAATTAAACCTCACCCAGCCACTAATGTGGCAAAGCAGTGAGGAGGTAACCAGAAAGAGCATAGCTGTGCTCAGCTCTGTTGTACAGTCACATGTTGCTTCATGACTACGACACCTGCTTTAAAATGCTTCATTATGCCCTTGTGTTATTGTGTGACCATCAGAGAGTACTTACACAAACCTAGGTGTCTAGCCTACTCCATCGCTAGGCTCTATGGTATAGCCCATTGCTCCTAGGTTACAAACCTGTACAACAGGTTACTGTATTGAATATTCTAGGCAACTGTAACAGTGTTAAGTATTTTTGTCTCTAAACACATGTAAACATAGAAAGGGTAATGTGTTACACTCAGATGTTAAGATGTGGCTACAATGCCTATGTCACTAGGCCACAGGAATTCTTCAACTCCATTATAATCTATACCACTGTCATATGTGGTCCATCGTTGACCGAAATGTCATTATGTGGTGCATGACTCATTTATTAATTTTACTTATTGTCTATACTAATAGCTAAAATTTCAGCCACTTTTAAAATATGGTTTAATGATACCCTCATTATAAACATATACCAATTAAAAATAAAGATGATTGTTCAGACATGCCAGGGTGAACCAGGCTGGGCTATAAAATTTCAG